ATGATGAGCATGGAAGAAGGGCGAGAGAGAGAGAGACGAGAGAGGGAGAGTGAGAGAGCAGCAGAGAGAGGAGACGCAGCGTATGAGACGAGACGTACGAGAGAGGTAGTACTGCGTACTGACGTGAGCATCGTAAAAGAAGCGAACGAGAGTGAAAGACGATATTAAGAGAGAGGGTTTAGATGCTAGAGTCAGATGGAGCGAGTGAGGAGAACACGAGCACGAAATCGAGAGATAACATCCTCTGAACACATCGTTCTGCAAATTAGCTGTCTGTCTGTATGTGATTGCCTTTTGTCGCTATTCTGAGTAGATGGGGTAGGTTATGTTGGGCATTGATGCGCAGGTCAGTGCTGTTTTCGAGTGCTACCTTCAAGTGTTGCAGAGCGTTTAGCGTAGAGCGATCTGACGTGCACGGAGCGGTGGCTGTAGTCTGAGTGTATCACAGTGTGCACGGTAGCAGATCCTGTCTGATGAGACTGAGCAGTGGTGTGTACTGAGCGTATGTCCGACGCGTGTGATGTGGGAGAGAGCGAGCTCGAAGGTAGTGTGTGGTCTCGAGCCTGCCCACGAGGATACCAGGGCGCACTGCTGACAGCGGAGAAAGCGGCCAATTGATGCGAGAGCACGACGACTGACGTGTGGGGGATTGGACGCTTAGAGAGAACCGAGATGAGACTGACTCGAAAGTAGGAGGCATGGATTTATGATTATCTAGTACAGTCGACGATGTCCGTCATGGAAGCATGTATCAGTGCTGCATCCACACAGTATCTGTGCTAGCGTATCTACTGATGTGCTGAGCAGAAGCCAGTAGAGCTGTCATACGACCAGCTCAGCACCTCAGAAATCAGTCTGCGAGGTGACGGTAAGATAACTCTCCTGGCCTTGAAATCTTGACTCATCTATCAGGCGATACAGATATCATACAGTGATCTGCAGGCTGATACAGGTGAAGTACAGACCACTCTCTACTGGTTATACCACTGTCTATCATGGCTCAGAGGAACTGTGCAGGGTTGATCGGTTCCAAGAAAACTCTCTGTTTGTATGAGTAAACCTCTGAGAATAACTAGAATGCGATTAAGTATGAGTTACTTTATGTCTCTTACGAGTTCATTGATGGTGCCCTCTACCTAGGTGTAAACCCTTCGTGAAAGAGGATCTTGCTGACTTTAGTGTAGGTAATGCGTAATCTACTGTTCCTATTTTTGAGATAAATACCATGACCTTCAGTAATTGTTTTTAAAAACTGGAACACAACTGTCCTCTCTGCCCTCCCTGCTTTTCAAACCCAGCAGGCTCAATTAGTGATCCCCCCCCCCTTTTTTTCCTCCTTTCCCCTCTCCTGAGCAGTGACTTCCCAGTTCACGTAGTAAAACATCTTGTTTATTCAAGCGCCATAAAACCCCAACATGCCCCCCCCACAGGGAGCAATCTGCTTACTGGCTCAGCCACACAGTGTTGTAATGTAAAGAAGGGATGGGCTGTTGTGTGAGTAATAATAATCAACTAATATGCCTTTTTAGCAGACGATTTTCTATCCATAAGCGACTTTACAGTCATGAGTGCATAAATTTTTTTGTGTCTGTATGGTGGTCCCGGGGATCGAACCCACTACCTTGGTGTTACAAGCGCATATGCCTTATACCAGCTGAGCAAAGAGGACCACGGGAGCTGACTGGACTGACCGACCGACTGGCAGGCAGCCAGGCAGGAAAGACAGGTTATGAAGGACAGACAGGCATACAGACAGGACGGCATACAGGACAGACAGGCAGACAGACAGACAAGCTAAGTTGCAGAACAGAGATGTGTTCAGATGATGTATTTGATGGTTGGTTTTACAGCAGAGAGCAGAACCCGATGATATAGGATTGGTGGTGTTTAGAGCAGAGGCAGAAGAACCCTGAGGACCTCTCAAGCTGGGCCCTCTATAGCTCTCTATATAGAGAGCGAGGGCGAGATGAATGAGAGAGAGATAACGAGAGCCCCCCCGCCGAGAGAGCGAGCAGAGAGAGAGAAGGCGAGCGAGTGTGAGGAGAAGAGAGAGAGAGCGAGAGAGAAGAGAAGAGAAGAGAGAGAGAGAGAGAAGAGGAAGAGAGAGAGAGAGAGAGAGAGAGAGGAGAGAGAGAGGAGGAGCTACTCTCTATATAGCTCGAGATCTTGTCTCTCTTTCTCTCGCTATCTCTCTATCTCCTCTCGATAGATAGAAGGAGAGAGATGGGTGTAAGAGAGCTCGATATCGCGAAGAAGCGAGAGAGATGAGAGATAGTAGCGAGCGGAGCGCGACAGCAGAAATGAGGCCGGCAGGAGCTCTCTATGCGACGAGACGTCGCGCGCGCGAGCGCGCGCTCTCGCGGGTGCGCGAGAATCAGAGCGCGCTCTCGGGCTCTCGCGCTCTGGGCGCAGCTGCGCATCTCTCGCTCCTCTCGCGACTAAGCTACCAATATCCTGAAGGAATCTCTCGCGCTCTCTTCTCTCTCTAGATGAGCGTATCTCTCATCTTCTCTAGCTATCGCTATCTGTCTCTCTCTCTCTATCTCTCTCTCTCTCCTCGATATCGATAAAAATTCAATTCATTCAATTCAATAGGACTTTGAAGAGGAACGACAAAAGGGAGGGAGAAAAGGCAGGAAGAAGGAGAAGAAAGGAGGACGAAGCAAAGAAGACAGGAACAACAGGACAGGGCAACCCGGGAAGGACGAAAGGCGCAGGAGTGCCCGAGAGTTTTGTTGGGGAAAAAACCAAGAGCAGAAGATGAAAAGGGGGTTTAGAGAGGAGAAAATAAAATAAAAGAGGGGAAAAGGGTTTTTTTAAAACGCCCCTTTTTCCCCTTTTTCAATAAAATTAAGGGAAATTTTTTTGTTTTTTTTCCCAAGGTTTCCTTTTTTTTCCCCGATTTTCTCTACCCATCTCTTCTTTCTTTTCTTTCTCTCTCTCTTCTCTTTTCCTCTCTTTATCTATCTCTCTCTCTCTCTCTCACCCCTCCCTTTTTAATTTTACTGCAGGTTTTCCTCTCTCCCTTACTTTTCTTCCCCGCTCCTCTTGTCTTCTATATATTTCCCCTTTTTTTTCTTCTTCTCTTTCTTCTTTTTCCTCAGCCCCCATTACCCTGCAGGATCTCTCTCTCCTTTCTCTTTTCTCTCCTCCCCTCTCTCTCTTTTCCCCCCCCCCTTTTTCTCTTCTTTCTCTCTTCTCTTCTTCTCTCTCCTCTCTCTCTCCCAATAAAATTCAATTCAATAGACTTTTAAAATGGCAAGAAAAATTCTACAGTAAAGTTACTATAAAAAAAATGGTGGGACCAACAGCAATAAAATAGAGAGGGAAATGGGATTACCATTAACAGCAACTACAACAACAATATTAATGAGAATAACAACACATTAAAGCAATAGTAGTCGACCAATCTCAACATGACTGAGAAGACACATTACATGCTATGAAAGCCAAAACAAAACAGGAAATATTATTGACATTACATTACACTTTTCACTGGCTGTCCCTCAGGTTGTGGCAGGAGGACACATATTTGGCTGCCAAAATTGCACATTTTGGCTTTTCACCCAATAAATATTTGATTTTTTCTTCCTCTTTTATGGTTTCAAATTCTTTGTACTGAATGATACTTTTGGGAAAGAAAGATTATCTTAGGTCTGAGTATTTGTCACAGTGTAATAGGAAATGCAGCTCTGTCTCTACCTCTCCCCGGGGGCAGAGTGAGCACAGCCTGTCCTCTCTGGGCAGCCAGGTTTGCCTGTGACGACCGGTCTCTATAGCTAGACTGTGCTCACTGAGTCTGTACCTAGTCAGTGTTTTTCTCAGTTTTCTATCAGTCACAGTGGTCAGATAGTCTGCCACCATGTACTGTCTGTTTAGAGCCAAATAGTATTGAAGTTTACTTTGATTTTTTGTGGTGTCTTTTCAATAGGTGATATATTTTTCTTTTTGCTTTGTGATGATTTGGTTGGGCCAGATTTTCTGAGTGCTGTCCTGAGGCTCTATGAGGTTGGTTTTGGTTAGTGAACTGAGCCTCAGAACCAGCTGGCTGAGGGGACTCTTCTCTTGTTTCATCTCTTGACATAGTAGAGCTGTGTGATGGAATGTTTTGGGGTCACTTGTTTTTAGATGGTTTGTAAAATTGATGGCTCTTTTTTCTATTCGAATAAGGAGGGGGTATTGGCCCAATTCTGCTCTACATGCGTTATTTTGAGTTTTTCTTTGCACTTGCAATACAGTCTTGCAAAACTCTGCATGCAGTATTTCGATTGGATGTTTGTCCCATTTGGTATATTCAGTATTAGAGAGCGGACCCCATACTTCGCTGCCATATAGAGCAATTGGTTCTATAACTGATTGGAAAATTTTGAGCCAGATTCTAATTGGAATTTCGATTTTAGTATTCCTTTTAATGGCATAGAATGCTCTTCTTGCTTTGTCTCTCAGCTCATTCACAGCCATGTGAAAGCTACCTGTGTTGCTGATATTTAGTCCTAGATATGTGTAATTTTAGGTGTGTTCTAATAGAACTGTGTCCAAATAGAATTTATATTTGTCATCCTGATTTCCTGACCTTTTTTGGAATATCATTATATTAGTTTTTTTTATTTTTTAGAACCTGTGCAGATGATCTAGATGCTGCTGTAACCCCTCCTTAGTGGGAGACAGTAGCACCAGGTCATCTGCGTACAGCAGACACTTGATTTCAGTGTTGTGTAGGGTGAGACAAGGTGCTGCCGATTCTTCTAATGTTTTTGCCAATTCGTTAATGTAGATGTTAAATAGTGTAACCCTCTCTCTCTCTCTCTCTCTCTCTCTCTCTCTCTCTCTCTCTCTCTCTCTCTCTCTCTCTCTCTCTCTCTGTCTCTCTCTCTCTCTCTGTCTCTCTCTCTCTCGCTCTCTCTCTCTCTCTTTCACTCTTTCTCTCTGTCTCTCTCTCTCTCTCTCTCTCTCTCTCTCTCTCTCTCGCTCTCTTTCTCTCTCAGCTTCCCTTATCCTGCTGGACCTTTCAAGCTGGACCTCTCTCGAGGAGGGAGAAGAACCTCCATCTTCAGTATTGTTTTGTAAATATAAATCCTTTGTACAACCGGGAAAGGTAGGTCATTGTTCAGGGTATAATGTTCCCTACATAATGATACAAAACATGACATGTTCTCCTTGAAATAGACATAAGTTATTCACAACAGGGAAAATACATAAGGAGAGTAGATGTGTATTGGCTACGGTCTGCCAACTGCCAGACATTTTGAATTGGCCTGGTCTTTCGTCAGCGCGACGTCCTTACAGCAGAGAGCAGAACCCTGCAGATATCTGATTGGTGGTTTTACAGCAGAGAGCAGAACCCTGCTGATATCTGATTGGTGGTTTTACAAGCAGAGAGCAGAACTCTGTTATCAGAGAGCTGTAGCAGAGAGACTGAGGTGAACTCAGACCTTAGAGTGGCAATCAGCAGTTGTTGCATCCATTTTTGGACTTAAAAATGAATGATACTGCATATGCCCATTGATTCTTGAAGAATATAACTTATAAATGCCTCATGAGCTTATTTCAACTGTCGTACCTCATCAGAACCCAAAATAAAAGCTTGTTTTACTCCAATGTTTCTCAACAAAAGTCAATGTAAACAAATAATATCCTCAAAACATGGTTAAACCTATAGTGTTGATATCATGGATGGTCAGTCCTTGCATCCATACCTGTGTCTTTGAATTTGAGAGTGGTTACATTTCTCCAGGCCCATCCCCCCGCTTTTGACTGAAACAGTGGGGAGACAGCGTTGTTATTGTAGGTCAGAACACTGGTCCTACAACTGTCGTACCTGATGAGGTACGACAGTTGAAATAAGCTCATGAGGCATTTATAAGTTATATTCTTCAAGAATCAATGGGCATATGCAGTATCATTCATTTTTAAGTCCAAAAATGGATGCAACAACTGCTGATTGCCACTCTAAGGTCTGAGTTCACCTCAGTCTCTCTGCTACAGCTCTCTGATAACAGAGTTCTGCTCTCTGCTGTAACCCTAACCCTAACCCTAACCCTAACTGCTGATTGGTGCTTTAAGAATATGTTAAGAAAAATTGTTAGCTTTGCTAGTAAGGTGCTAGGGGTCAAGCAGACAGGTCTGGAGGTCATTTATGATATAAAAAGCCCACAAGGTACGGATGGAACCCAGACATCCTCTTTACCAGCAGTTCAAGCTACTCCCCGTAGGGGAACATTACAGGGTACCAAGCTACATTACAGGGTACCAAACTACATTACAGGGTACCAAACTACATTACAGGGTACCAAGCTACATTACAGGGTACCAAGCTACATTACAGGGTACCAAGCTACATTACAGGGTACCAGGGCAGAACAGAAATAGGGCCAAACAATCCTTTGCCCCAAGGCTCCTGACTGTATAAACCACCAATAGGACCAGTGGCCTGACCTACAGATAACACTGTAGTTAAACCACCAGTAGGACCAGTGGCCTGACCTACAGATAACACTGTAGTTAAACTACCAGTAGGACCAGTGTTCTGAACAACGGATAACACTGTAGTTAAACCACCAGTAGGACCAGTGGCCTGACCTACAGATAACACTGTAGTTAAACTACCAGTAGGACCAGTGTTCTGACCTACAGATAACACTGTAGTTAAACTACCAATAGGACCAGTGTTCTGACCTACAGATAACACTGTAGTTAAACTACCAGTAGGACCAGTGGCCTGACCTACAGATAACACTGTAGTTAAACTACCAGTAGGACCAGTGTTCTGACCTACAGATAACACTGTAGTTAAACTACCAGTAGGACCAGTGTTCTGACCTACAGATAACACTGTAGTTAAACTACCAGTAGGACCAGTGGCCTGACCTACAGATAACACTGTAGTTAAACTACCAGTAGGACCAGTGTTCTGACCTACAGATAACACTGTAGTTAAACTACCAGTAGGACCAGTGTTCTGACCTACAGATAACACTGTAGTTAAACTACCAATAGGACGAGTGCTCTGACCTACAGATAACACTGTAGTTATACCACCAGTAGGACCAGTGGCCTGACCTACAGATAACACTGTAGTTAAACTACCAGTAGGACCAGTGGCCTGACCTACAGATAACACTGTAGTTAAACCACCAGTAGGACCAGTGGCCTGACCTACAGATAACACTTTAGTTAAACTACCAGTAGGACCAGTGGCCTGACCTACAGATAACACTGTAGTTAAACTACCAGTAGGACCAGTGTTCTGAACAACGGATAACACTGTAGTTAAACTACCAGTAGGACCAGTGGCCTGACCTACAGATAACACTGTAGTTAAACTACCAGTAGGACCAGTGTTCTGAACAACGGATAACACTGTAGTTAAACTACCAGTAGGACCAGTGCCCTGACCTACAGATAACACTGTAGTTAAACTACCAGTAGGACCAGTGTTCTGACCTACAGATAACACTGTAGTTAAACCACCAGTAGGACCAGTGGCCTGACCTACAGATAACACTGTAGTTAAACCACCAGTAGGACCAGTGTTCTGACCTACAGATAACACTGTAGTTAAACTACCAGTAGGACCAGTGTTCTGACCTACAGATAACACTGTAGTTAAACTACCAGTAGGACCAGTGTTCTGACCTACAGATAACACTGTAGTTAAACTACCAGTAGGACCAGTGTTCTGACCTACAGATAACACTGTAGTTAAACTACCAGTAGGACGAGTGGCCTGACCTACAGATAACACTGTAGTTAAACTACCAGTAGGACCAGTGGCCTGACCTACAGATAACACTGTAGTTAAACTACCAGTAGGACCAGTGTTCTGACCTACAGATAACACTGTAGTTAAACTACCAGTAGGACCAGTGGCCTGACCTACAGATAACACTGTAGTTAAACTACCAGTAGGACCAGTGGCCTGACCTACAGATAACACTGTAGTTAAACTACCAGTAGGACCAGTGGCCTGACCTACATATAACACTGTAGTTAAACCACCAGTAGGACCAGTGTTCTGACCTACAGATAACACTGTAGTTAAACTACCAGTAGGACCAGTGTTCTGACCTACAGATAACACTGTAGTTTAACCACCAGTAGGACCAGTGTTCTGACCTACAGATAACACTGTAGTTAAACTACCAGTAGGACCAGTGGCCTGACCTACAGATAACACTGTAGTTAAACTACCAGTAGGACCAGTGTTCTGACCTACAGATAACACTGTAGTTAAACTACCAGTAGGACCAGTGGCCTGACCTACAGATAACACTGTAGTTAAACTACCAGTAGGACCAGTGGCCTGACCTACAGATAACACTGTAGTTAAACTACCAGTAGGACCAGTGGCCTGACCTACAGATAACACTGTAGTTAAACTACCAGTAGGACCAGTGGCCTGACCTACAGATAACACTGTAGTTAAACCACCAGTAGGACCAGTGGCCTGACCTACAGATAACACTGTAGTTAAACTACCAGTAGGACCAGTGTTCTGACCTACAGATAACACTGTAGTTTAACCACCAGTAGGACCAGTGTTCTGACCTACAGATAACACTGTAGTTAAACTACCAGTAGGACCAGTGGCCTGACCTACAGATAACACTGTAGTTAAACTACCAGTAGGACCAGTGTTCTGACCTACAGATAACACTGTAGTTAAACTACCAGTAGGACCAGTGGCCTGACCTACAGATAACACTGTAGTTAAACTACCAGTAGGACCAGTGGCCTGACCTACAGATAACACTGTAGTTAAACTACCAGTAGGACCAGTGGCCTGACCTACAGATAACACTGTAGTTAAACTACCAGTAGGACCAGTGTTCTGACCTACAGATAAAACTGTAGTTAAACCACCAGTAGGACCAGTGTTCTGACCTACAGATAACACTGTAGTTAAACTACCAGTAGGACCAGTGGCCTGACCTACAGATAACACTGTAGTTAAACTACCAGTAGGACCAGTGGCCTGACCTACAGATAACACTGTAGTTAAACCACCAGTAGGACCAGTGGCCTGACCTACAGATAACACTGGAGTTAAATTACCAGTAGGACCAGTGTTCTGACCTACAGATAACACTGGAGTTAAACTACCAGTAGGACCAGTGTTCTGACCTACAGATAACACTGTAGTTAAACTACCAGTAGGACCAGTGGCCTGACCTACAGATAACACTGTAGTTAAACTACCAGTAGGACCAGTGTTCTGACCTACAGATAACACTGTAGTTAAACCACCAGTAGGACCAGTGGCCTGACCTACAGATAACACTGGAGTTAAATTACCAGTAGGACCAGTGTTCTGACCTACAGATAACACTGTAGTTAAACTACCAGTAGGACCAGTGTTCTGACCTACAGATAACACTGGAGTTAAATTACCAGTAGGACCAGTGTTCTGACCTACAGATAACACTGTAGTTAAACCACCAGTAGGACCAGTGGCCTGACCTACAGATAACACTGTAGTTAAACTACCAGTAGGACCAGTGGCCTGACCTACAGATAACACTGTAGTTAAACTACCAGTAGGACCAGTGGCCTGACCTACAGATAACACTGTAGTTAAACCACCAGTAGGACCAGTGTTCTGACCTACAGATAACACTGTAGTTAAACTACCAGTAGGACCAGTGTTCTGACCTACAGATAACACTGTAGTTTAACCACCAGTAGGACCAGTGTTCTGACCTACAGATAACACTGTAGTTAAACTACCAGTAGGACCAGTGGCCTGACCTACAGATAACACTGTAGTTAAACTACCAGTAGGACCAGTGTTCTGACCTACAGATAAACTGTAGTTAAACTACCAGTAGGACCAGTGGCCTGACCTACAGATAACACTGTAGTTAAACTACCAGTAGGACCAGTGGCCTGACCTACAGATAACACTGTAGTTAAACTACCAGTAGGACCAGTGTTCTGACCTACAGATAACACTGTAGTTATACTACCAGTAGGACCAGTGTTCTGACCTACAGATAACACTGTAGTTAAACTACCAGTAGGACCAGTGTTCTGACCTACATATAACACTGTAGTTAAACTACCAGTAGGACCAGTGTTCTGACCTACAGATAACACTGTAGTTAAACTACCAGTAGGACCAGTGTTCTGACCTACAGATAACACTGTAGTTAAACTACCAGTAGGACCAGTGTTCTGACCTACAGATAACACTGTAGTTAAACCACCAGTAGGACCAGTGGCCTGACCTACAGATAACACTGTAGTTAAACTACCAGTAGGACCAGTGGGCTGACCTACAGATAACACTGTAGTTAAACTACCAGTAGGACCAGTGTTCTGACCTACAGATAACACTGTAGTTAAACCACCAGTAGGACCAGTAGCCTGACCTACAGATAACACTGTAGTTAAACTACCAGTAGGACCAGTGTTCTGAACAACGGATAACACTGTAGTTAAACCACCAGTAGGACCAGTGGCCTGACCTACAGATAACACTGTAGTTAAACTACCAGTAGGACCAGTGTTCTGACCTACATATAACACTGTAGTTAAACTACCAATAGGACCAGTGTTCTGACCTACAGATAACACTGTAGTTAAACTACCAGTAGGACCAGTGGCCTGACCTACAGATAACACTGTAGTTAAACTACCAGTAGGACCAGTGTTCTGACCTACAGATAACACTGTAGTTAAACTACCAGTAGGACCAGTGTTCTGACCTACAGATAACACTGTAGTTAAACTACCAGTAGGACCAGTGGCCTGACCTACAGATAACACTGTAGTTAAACTACCAGTAGGACCAGTGTTCTGACCTACAGATAACACTGTAGTTAAACTACCAGTAGGACCAGTGTTCTGACCTACAGATAACACTGTAGTTAAACTACCAATAGGACGAGTGCTCTGACCTACAGATAACACTGTAGTTATACCACCAGTAGGACCAGTGGCCTGACCTACAGATAACACTGTAGTTAAACTACCAGTAGGACCAGTGGCCTGACCTACAGATAACACTGTAGTTAAACCACCAGTAGGACCAGTGGCCTGACCTACAGATAACACTTTAGTTAAACTACCAGTAGGACCAGTGGCCTGACCTACAGATAACACTGTAGTTAAACTACCAGTAGGACCAGTGTTCTGAACAACGGATAACACTGTAGTTAAACTACCAGTAGGACCAGTGGCCTGACCTACAGATAACACTGTAGTTAAACTACCAGTAGGACCAGTGTTCTGAACAACGGATAACACTGTAGTTAAACTACCAGTAGGACCAGTGCCCTGACCTACAGATAACACTGTAGTTAAACTACCAGTAGGACCAGTGTTCTGACCTACAGATAACACTGTAGTTAAACCACCAGTAGGACCAGTGGCCTGACCTACAGATAACACTGTAGTTAAACCACCAGTAGGACCAGTGTTCTGACCTACAGATAACACTGTAGTTAAACTACCAGTAGGACCAGTGTTCTGACCTACAGATAACACTGTAGTTAAACTACCAGTAGGACCAGTGTTCTGACCTACAGATAACACTGTAGTTAAACTACCAGTAGGACCAGTGTTCTGACCTACAGATAACACTGTAGTTAAACTACCAGTAGGACGAGTGGCCTGACCTACAGATAACACTGTAGTTAAACTACCAGTAGGACCAGTGGCCTGACCTACAGATAACACTGTAGTTAAACTACCAGTAGGACCAGTGTTCTGACCTACAGATAACACTGTAGTTAAACTACCAGTAGGACCAGTGTTCTGACCTACAGATAACACTGTAGTTAAACTACCAGTAGGACCAGTGGCCTGACCTACAAATAACACTGTAGTTATACTACCAGTAGGACCAGTGTTCTGACCTACAGATAACACTGTAGTTAAACTACCAGTAGGACCAGTGTTCTGACCTACAGATAACACTGTAGTTAAACTACCAGTAGGACCAGTGTTCTGACCTACAGATAACACTGTAGTTAAACTACCAGTAGGACCAGTGTTCTGACCTACAGATAACACTGTAGTTAAACTACCAGTAGGACCAGTGGCCTGACCTACAGATAACACTGTAGTTAAACTACCAGTAGGACCAGTGTTCTGACCTACAGATAACACTGTAGTTAAACCACCAGTAGGACCAGTGTTCTGACCTACAGATAACACTGTAGTTAAACTACCAGTAGGACCAGTGGCCTGACCTACAGATAACACTGTAGTTAAACTACCAGTAGGACCAGTGGCCTGACCTACAGATAACACTGTAGTTAAACCACCAGTAGGACCAGTGGCCTGACCTACAGATAACACTGGAGTTAAATTACCAGTAGGACCAGTGTTCTGACCTACAGATAACACTGGAGTTAAACTACCAGTAGGACCAGTGTTCTGACCTACAGATAACACTGTAGTTAAACTACCAGTAGGACCAGTGGCCTGACCTACAGATAACACTGTAGTTAAACTACCAGTAGGACCAGTGTTCTGACCTACAGATAACACTGTAGTTAAACCACCAGTAGGACCAGTGGCCTGACCTACAGATAACACTGGAGTTAAATTACCAGTAGGACCAGTGTTCTGACCTACAGATAACACTGTAGTTAAACTACCAGTAGGACCAGTGTTCTGACCTACAGATAACACTGGAGTTAAATTACCAGTAGGACCAGTGTTCTGACCTACAGATAACACTGTAGTTAAACCACCAGTAGGACCAGTGGCCTGACCTACAGATAACACTGTAGTTAAACTACCAGTAGGACCAGTGGCCTGACCTACAGATAACACTGTAGTTAAACCACCAGTAGGACCAGTGTTCTGACCTACAGATAACACTGTAGTTAAACTACCAGTAGGACCAGTGTTCTGACCTACAGATAACACTGTAGTTTAACCACCAGTAGGACCAGTGTTCTGACCTACAGATAACACTGTAGTTAAACTACCAGTAGGACCAGTGGCCTGACCTACAGATAACACTGTAGTTAAACTACCAGTAGGACCAGTGTTCTGACCTACAGATAACACTGTAGTTAAACTACCAGTAGGACCAGTGGCCTGACCTACAGATAACACTGTAGTTAAACTACCAGTAGGACCAGTGGCCTGACCTACAGATAACACTGTAGTTAAACTACCAGTAGGACCAGTGTTCTGACCTACAGATAACACTGTAGTTATACTACCAGTAGGACCAGTGTTCTGACCTACAGATAACACTGTAGTTAAACTACCAGTAGGACCAGTGTTCTGACCTACATATAACACTGTAGTTAAACTACCAGTAGGACCAGTGTTCTGACCTACAGATAACACTGTAGTTAAACTACCAGTAGGACCAGTGTTCTGACCTACAGATAACACTGTAGTTAAACTACCAGTAGGACCAGTGTTCTGACCTACAGATAACACTGTAGTTAAACCACCAGTAGGACCAGTGGCCTGACCTACAGATAACACTGTAGTTAAACTACCAGTAGGACCAGTGGGCTGACCTACAGATAACACTGTAGTTAAACTACCAGTAGGACCAGTGTTCTGACCTACAGATAACACTGTAGTTAAACCACCAGTAGGACCAGTAGCCTGACCTACAGATAACACTGTAGTTAAACTACCAGTAGGACCAGTGGGCTGACCTACAGATAACACTGTAGTTAAACTACCAGTAGGACCAGTGTTCTGACCTACAGATAACACTGTAGTTAAACTACCAGTAGGACCAGTGGGCTGACCTACAGATAACACTGTAGTTAAACTACCAGTAGGACCAGTGGGCTGACCTACAGATAACACTGTAGTTAAACTACCAGTAGGACCAGTGTTCTGACCTACAGATAACACTGTAGTTAAACTACCAGTAGGACCAGTGGCCTGACCTACAGATAACACTGTAGTTAAACTACCAGTAGGACCAGTGTTCTGACCTACAGATAACACTGTAGTTAAACTACCAGTAGGACCAGTGGCCTGACCTACAGATAACACTGTAGTTAAACTACCAGTAGGACCAGTGGCCTGACCTACAGATAACACTGTAGTTAAACTACCAGTAGGACCAGTGTTCTGACCTACAGATAACACTGTAGTTATACTACCAGTAGGACCAGTGTTCTGACCTACAGATAACACTGTAGTTAAACTACCAGTAGGACCAGTGTTAACTACAGATAACACTGTAGTTAGTTCTGTCAGGTGTTTAACATAGTTACTAACATGATGTCTGTCAGGTGTCCTATAAGAGGCTATAACATTTTCTAAGTAAATAGTGATAATACAGCTGTTTTTTTGGGGTCAACTACACGTCAAATACTATAAAACAATTAAACCTATTTCAGGTGCCTTTGTTTGAGCTTGGAGTTTGTATCAGCTCATTAGTTCCATTGTACTGGACTAGGACTGGGATCCCAGGAGCATCTTCAGTGTTTTACATGTGTATTGAAAACCGGTCTGCTGTTTATTGCCAACTGGCAGAGCAGTTCTGACCCAATAACTGGTACTGACAGAACAGTTCTGGCCCAATAGCTAGTACTGACAGAACAGTTCTGACCCAATAACTCTTACTGTCAGAGCAGTTCTGACCCAATAGCTGTTATGCTATTATCTGCAGCAGGGAGGGTAAAAGCCAATTTATGCTTGATCCGAAAATGGGTTCAGAGGCTTCGTGTTGATTGTGTGACACGGCGGAATGCAGCGGACAAATCAAGGACAAATCAGAGGACAAATCAAGGACAAATCAGAGGACAAATCAAGGACAAATCATGGACAAAAAAGGACAAATCAAGGACAAATCAAGGACAAATCAAGCTCCGTACCACATCGTTGTGCGCCTCTCAAGTGTTGTAACAATGCGGAGGGCTGTTGGTGTTCTGTGGAAACTCTTCTCCTCAGAACTGACTGAACATCAACAGAACATTATCAGATTAGTATCTGCTTCAAAATCAACAGTTCAGCATAAACAGCAAAGCTTTACGACAAACAAAGCTTAGATAACACATGTTTTGTAGGTTGCCATCAAAGCAAACTACTCTGTATTACTGTAAATGTTCCTGGTTATGCCCTAGTTTGGGATTCCTGTCGTTGTTGAAAACCCCTCCAACTTTATTTTCTTTCATGTAGTGCGGAGGCCTACCTGAACTCTGTAAAAATGTGTTTTATTTTCTTCTCATACTGTCTGTCTGTCTTCCTCTCTCTTTATCTGTATGTCTGTCTGTCCCAGACATGGATGTAGAGGAGTTTGACAACGTGACTCTGAGGGACAACATGACCAACTGTCCGTCTATCGATGACTTTCGTAACCAGGTAACCATATCTGTCTGTCTGCCTGCCTGCCTGTCTGTCTTGCCCCTTTCGCCCCCGTCCGTCCGTCCATGCGTCACGCAAAGGGCAGATGCCCACTCATTGATATGCTTCTATACTATGGGAAAGCTGTGCAATGAGATTGATTGGTTAGTGGTATCTAACAGAAGCAGTGTGTTCAGGCAGTAATTTACAGTGGTAACAGAGAGTAATCGTGATCCAAGTTGGCCTATATAAAAGACAGTACAGTATTTAGAATAGGGATGTCGCCAAATGACATACAGAATATTATTTCATACATAGAGAAAATCAGACCTCTTTTATTTGAAAATGGATGACCATTCCTCAAGCAAAATATATTTTCACATGACCCTCCCTCTACCCAGATTAATCATTAAAACACAAAGTATTCACTGGGCACAGACTGGGCACAGACGTCAATTCAACATCAATTCCACGTTGGTTCAACGTTATGAAATGACCATTGGTGGAAAAAGTACCAAATTGTCTTACTTTAGTAAAAGTATAGATACCTAATAGAAAGTTACTCAAGTAAAAGTGAAAGTCACCCAGTAAAAAACTACTTGAGTAAAAGTCTAAAAGTATTTGGTTATAAATAAACGTAAGTATTAAAAGCAACTGTAATTGCTCAAATATACTTAAGGATCAAAAGTAAAAGTATGAATCATTTCAAATTCCTAATATTAAGCAAAACAGACGGCACCATATTCTTGTTTTTAAAGTTTACGCTTAGCTAGGGGCACATTCCAACACTCAGACATCATTTTCAAAAGATGCATGTGTTTAGTGAGTTCACCAGATCAAAGGCAGTAGGGATGACCACGTGTTGTCTTGATAAGTGCGTGAATTGGGCCATTTTCTTGTCCTGCTAAGAATTCAAAATGTAACGACCACTTTTGGGTGTCAGGTAAAATGTTCAGAGTAAAAGGTTCAGAGTAAAAAGTACATTATTATCTTTAGGAATGTATTAAAGTAAAAGTAAAAGTTGTCAAAAATATAAATAGTAAAGTACAGTTACCCAAAACAACTACTTAAGTGGTCATTTAAAGTATTTTTACTTATGTACTTTCCGCCACTGGAAATCACATGGAAACAATGTTGTTTCAATCAGTGTGTGCCCAGTGCATAGATAGCAGAGAACATGCCTACCATTTACCCTCACTCAGTCCTCTGTCAGAGCTGGCGTAGGTGTGGTGTGGGAATCAGATGCAGGATGCAGAAGTAGTCCAAAATACTTTAATAGAGTCCACAGAATGAACGGCTATAAACAGAGCCGGAGGCACAAGAAAAATAACGCACTCAGCGTAATAAACAAACACGCACAATAGTGCGGACTCTCTACAGAAAAATGAGCACAAACTTGACATGGAAACACCTGCTGACAAAGAACAACTACACACAACCACAAGACAGAAACAACGAGAACTTAAAGGACACATAATCAAGACAAAATGAGAAACAGGTGTACCAAAACAGACCAAACCAAACGAACACAGAAACAACGAACGGTGGCAGCTAGTACTCCGGGGACGACGACCGCCGAAGCCTGCCCGAACAAGGAGAAGGAGCAGCCTCGGCAGAAACCGTGACAGTACCCCCCCCTTGACGCGCGGCCCCAGCCGTGCGCCGACCCCGGCCTCGGGGACGACCAGGAGTACGCGGAGCAGGGCGCGTGGGATGACCACGATGGAACTCAGTCAGAAGAGACGGGTCTAAGATATCTCTCCTCGGCACCCAGCACCGCTCCTCCGGACCGTACCCCTCCCACTCCACGAGATATTGGAGACCCCCCATCCGGCGTCTCGAATCCAGGATGGACCGAACTGTGTACGCCGGAGCCCCCTCGATGTCCAGCGGGGGCGGAGGAGTCTCTGCTATCTCACAGTCCTGGAGTGGACCAGCTACCACCGGCCTGAGGAGAGACACATGGAACGAGGGGTTAATATTCTTATAATCAATAGGAAGTTGTAATCTGTAACACACCTCGTTCAACCTCCTCAGGACTTTAAAAGGCCCCACAAACCGCTGACCCAGCTTCCGGCAGGGCAGGCGGAGGGGCAGGTGTCTGGTCGAGAGCCAGACTCGATCTCCTGGTGCGTACACCGGTCCCTCACTGCGGTGGAGATCGGCGCTCGCCTTGTGTCGACGGATGGCCCGCTGCAGATGTACGTGAGCAGCGTTCCATGTCTCCTCCGAGCGCCGCACTCACTCATCCACCGCAGGAGCCTCGATCTGGCTCTGATGCCAAGGTGCCAGAGCCGGCTGGTACCCTAGTACACATTGGAAAGGAGTGAGTCTGGTGGAGGAGTGGCGAAGGGAGTTCTGGGCCATCTCGGCCCAGAGAACATACCTCGCCCACTCCTCCGGCCGGCCCTGGCAATACGACCTCAGAAACCTACCCACATCCTGGTTTACCCGTTCAACCTGCCCATTGCTCTCCGGGTGGTACCCCGAGGTAAGGCTCACCGAGACCCCCAAGCGCTCCATGAACGCTCTCCAGACTCGAGAGGTAAACTGGGGGCCTCGATCAGACACTATATCCTCGGTTACCCCGTAATGCCGGAAGACGTGAGTAAATAGTGCCTCAGCGGTCTGTAGGGCAGTGGGGAGACCCGGCATGGGAAGTAGACGACAGGCCTTCGAGAACCGATCCACAACGACCAGGATGGTGGTATTTCCCTGGGAGGGGGGGAAGGTCAGTAACGAAATCCACCGAGAGGTGAGACCAGGGTCGTTGTGGAACGGGCAGGGGTTGTAGCTTACCCCGGGGCAGGTGTCTGGGTGCCTTACACTGGGCACACACCGAGCAGGAGGAAACATAAACCCTCACATCCCTGGCTAACGTTGGCCACCAGTACTTAGTGCTAAGGCAGTGCACCGTCCGGTCAATCCCTGGATGTCCAGAGGAGGGTGACTTGTGAGCCCAATATATAAGTCGATCCCGAACATCGAGCGGAACGTACGTCCGACCCACAGGACACTGTGGAGGGCTAGGATCGGTACGCAACGCCCGCTCGATTTCGGAATCGACCTCCCACACCACCGGTGCCACCAGGCAAGACGGCGGGAGTATGGGCGTGGGCTCAACGGACCTCTTCTCCGTGTCATACCGCCGGGACAGGGCATCTGCCTTACCGTTCTGGGACCCAGGGATGTACGTGATTTTAAAAACGAACCGGGCCAGAAACATGTTCCACCTAGCCTGGCGAGGGTTCAGTCTCCTAGCTGCCCGGATGTACTCCAGGTTTCGGTGGTCAGTCAAAATGAGGAAAGGGTGTTGAGCCCCCTCAAGCCAATGCCTCCACACCTTTAGGGCCTGGACCACGGCTAGCAACTCCCTGTCCCCCACGTCATAATTTCGCTCCGCCGGACTGAGCTTTTTAGAGTAAAAGGCACAGGGGCGGAGTTTCAGGGGCGTTCCAGACCGTTGCGAGAGCACGGCCCCTATACCGGCCTCAGACGCGTCTACCTCGACCTGGAATGGTAGCGCGGGATCCGGATGCGGCAGCACCGGCGCCGAGGTAAACAGGTCCTTCAGTCTCCCAAAAGCCCTATCAGCCTCAGCAGACCACTGCAAGCGCACCGGACCTCCCCAGGGGCGGTGTGTTCAATAGGGCGATATGGGTGACGCACTGCCAAACGGGAAAAGGAAGGGATTTTTTTTCTAATCAATTATATCACGGCAACAGTAGTTATCATATCAGTGTTCTAATCTGATCTGACTGCCACTAAATGTCAAATCAGGCTAAAGTCATGCTTCAAATGGCCCCGCCCGTTTTTGGGGCGATTTCAGTCAAGTTGAAAATCGCCCAGAAGTCTGTCATAGACTCTGATGTAAAATCTATTTTTTTCAAATTTCAAAGCTTTCAATACAATCTCTATGTGTTTCTGAGGGCTTGCACTTACGCGCTTTCGTCATACGTGACGTAACCATGAACGTAACTAAGAAAATAGCGGCTAGCAGCGTCTCTGTTGCGACCTGCAGTGTGGCGTTATCTTATGTTTTTAATTTGTACACTTAGTGGCGTTATTTTATGTTTTTAATTTGTACACTTAGTTTACAAACATTCTGCCAACCATGGATTTCCAGTGGTGGGTTTTGGACTGATCTTGTTGATCGTGTACATACCCGCTACGAACGGACTAAATAATGAAAACGCTGCTGGCAGCGGAATCCAATACAGCTGGGAGACTTGGCTGGATGACAGAGTCCCGGACAGAGAAGTGGAGCCGGCCGGCTTCACCCTGGTCAGAGCGGACCGCGATCTGAGTCACAGGGAAAATTGATCCTGGTAAGAGAGCGACTCTGTACCCCCGACATTGAACTGCTTTCTGTGTCACTGCGACCTTACTATCTGCCCCGTGAGTTCCCCCAATTGTTTGTTACCGTTGTGTACTGTTGATAATCACAAGTTTACTGGAGAACTGAGACCAAGTAGAGACTTTGGACAGGGTGGATATGGTATAATAAAGGCAGTTTATTCAGAGGTAAAGATATCTGGAATCGCGTGCACAGACTCGTTCGTCAAACTCTTAGGGAGCTATCTGAAGAGAGCCCCGAAAACATTGTGTGCAGACATTTTATACAATAAATGATGTAGGTTGAATCTAGTAGTTCTGATCTTCTGATTGGTCCTGATGAGTTGGGCGAGGTCCCCTCCACTGTTGCATTGGCTCTGAGTCGGGTTCTCTGTCTTCAAATGTTCAGCCTAAAGAGAGGGGATTTTTGTGTGTGTGTGTGTGTGTGTGTTTAACAGTGATGATGTGTGTGTGTGTGTGTGTTATCAGTGATGATTTGTGTGTGTGTGTGTGTGTGTGTGTGTGTGTGTGTGTCCTCAGAGCAAGAACTCGTGAGTTGGAAGAACTGAGAGACCTATGGCGTGGGTGTTGTCCTTGGCCACCTGCTGACAAGGCTGACAAGATAGGACTCTTTTGTCCATTGTTATAGGATAGGAACAGCATTGATTGAAAACAAACGCCCAACACAAAATGGGTCATGCACAAGATTTTAGTCAGACCAAGCTATAACATTATATATTTACTACGACAGTACATTCAACCAAAAGCTAATATAACAAAGGCATCAGAGATTATTTATAATCTGTCACAGAAACTGGAATCCATCTCCCCAGATCAGTCAATAAATGCTTCTGGTATTGACTTATATGCTGCCCCTGTCTTCATGTTGTTGCTGGACATATATTTTTTAAAATGTGTGTAGGTCACCTAAATCATCAGAAAAATTGCCCCTCCTGAGAATTTTTTCAGGAGCCGCCACTGGACCTCCCTTTAGAAGAGACGTTATGGGAGCTGCCACCTGTCCAAAACCCCGGATAAACCTCCTGTAGTAATTCGCAAAGCCCAAGAACCGCTGCACCTCTTTAACAGTGGTTGGAGTTTGCCAATTACGCACGGCCGACACACGGTCAACCTCCATCTTTACCCCTGACGCAGACAACTGATAACCCAAAAAGGAGACAGACTCCTGGAAAAACAGACATTTCTCTGCCTTGACATATAGGTCATGCTCCAACAATCTCCTCAACACTCGGCGCACCAGGGCTACATGCTCGGCTCGGGTAGAAGAGTACACTAGAATGTCGTCAATATACACTACTACACCCTGCCCATGCATATCCCGGAAGATCTCATCTACGAAGGATTGGAAGACTGAAGGAGCATTCATTAACCCGTATGGCATGACGAGATACTCGTAATGTCCCGAGGTGGTACTAAATGCTGTCTTCCATTCGTCTCCCTCCCTAATACGCACCAAGTTATATGCGCTCCTGAGGTCCAATTTTGTGAAGAACCGCGCCCCGTGTAAAGACTCCGTCATAGTCGCAATCAGAGGGAGTGGATAACTGTATTTCACAGTAATCTGATTGAGACTGCGGTAATCAATACACGGGCGCAAACCTCCATCCTTTTTCTTCACAAAAAAGAAACTTGAGGACGCAGGGGAAGTGGAGGGCCGTATGTATCCCTGTCTCAGAGACTCGGCTATGTAAGTCTCCATAGCTCTCCTCTCCTCTTGAGACAAAGGATACACATGGCTCCGCGGAAGCGCAGCTTCTACCTGGAGGTCTATCGCACAATCCCCCTGTCTATGTGGTGGCAATTGCGTCGCCTTCGCCTTACTAAATTCAAGTGCTAAATCCTCATACTCGGAGGGAATGTGCAATGCGGGCACTTGGTTTGGACTCTCCACAGAGGTCGCCCCTACGGAAACGCCCAGACATCGCCCTACACACTGGGCAGACCACTCCTTAAGAGCCCTCTGTTGCCACGAAATAGAGGGATTATGGGTAATCAACCAGGGAAGCCCCAGCACCACCGGATACGCAGGAGAGTCAATAAGATATAGCTGTATAGTCTCCTCATGACCCTCCTGCGTCCCCATCCTAAGTGGAGCTGTGACCTCCCTAATCAACCCCGATCCCAACGGACGGCTATCTAGAGCATGTACAGGGAAAGGATTGTTGACAGGAAGGAGGGGAATCCCTAACTCTGCACAAAATCTCTGATCTATAAAATTCCCAGCTGCGCCTGAATCTACTAGCGCCTTATGCTGGGAACGAGGTGCAACCTGTGGGAAGCAAACAGGTATGGTTAGGTGCACAACAGAGAGCTCTGGGTAAGTGGGGCGCCTACTCACCTGGAAGGACTCCCCAGTGCGTGGCCTGCCGTCTCGTCCCCTAGGAGACCCCCCCCAGCACCTGGCCGCAGTGTGTCCTCCACGGCCACAGTTGGTACAGGGGTTGGTCCCCCTGGGGCTCCTTCTCCTCTCCTCTCTAGCGCCAGCACCCCCGAGCTCCATAGGACTAGGCTCGGAGGTGCTGGAGGGTGGAATGGACGACCCCCACTCAGGATGTCCGCGGGTGGCCAGCAGGGTGTCTAGGCGAATGGCCATATCCACCAACTGGTCAAACGTGAGGGTGGTGTCCCTGCAGGCCAACTCACGACGGACGTCCTCCCGTAGGCTGCAGCGGAAGTGGTCTTTGAGGGCCCGCTCATTCCACCCTGCGTCTGCCGCTAGAGTCCGGAACTCCAGTGCAAACTCCTGGGCGCTCCTCTTCCCCTGTCGGAGGTAGAATAGACGTTCTCCCGCCGCCTTCCCCTCAGGTGGATGGTCGAATACAGCCCTGAAGCGACGGGAGAACTCTGCATAGGTGATCGTCGCAGGGTCTATTCTCCTCCATTCGGCGTTGGCCCACTCCAACGCCTTGCCGGTGAGACAGGAGATGAGGGCGGAAACGCTCTCGTGTCCCGAGGGCACCGGGTGTACGGTGGCGAGGTAGAATCCAACTTGTAGGAGGAAACCTTGACACCCGGCAGCGGTACCATCATACGCCCTCGGGAGCGAGAGCCGAATCCCACTGGGTTCCGGAGCGTGGACAAAGGGACTGACCGGTGCTGGTGGTAATGTGGGAGGAGGTGTGGATGCCCAACTGGTCTCCAGGCGATGCAGGGTATTCATTACTCCCTGAAGAGCATTGGTGATTTGAGCTATCCTGTCATCCTGTCCGCGGACGCGCTCCTCCCATGACTCGGTCGCTGCTGCTGCTCCTGCTGATTCCATGAGTGGTGTGTAGTTCTGTCAGAGCTGGCGTAGGTGTGGTGTTGGAATCAGATGCAGGATGCAGAAGTAGTCCAAAATACTTTAATAGAGTCCACAGAATGAACGGCTATAAACAGAGCCGGAGGCACAAGAAAAATAACGCACTCAGCGTAATAAACAAACACGCACAATAGTGCGGACTCTCTACAGAAAAATGAGCACAAACTTGACATGGAAACACCTGCTGACAAAGAACAACTACACACAACCACAAGACAGAAACAACGAGAACTTAAAGGACACATAATCAAGACAAAATGAGAAACAAGTGTACCAAAACAGACCAAACCAAACGAACACAGAAACAACGAACGGTGGCAGCTAGTACTCCGGGGACAACGACCGCCGAAGCCTGCCCGAACAAGGAGAAGGAGCAGCCTCGGCAGAAACCGTGACATCCTCAGGCAGACCAGAGCCATAGATATGCAGTTTGGCAAACAGTAATAATAATAATAAATACACAATGAGTAACGATAACTTGGCTATATACACGGGGTACAAATACCGAGTCGATGTGCTGGGGTAGGAGGTAATTGAGGTAAATACATTATGTACAGTGCATTCGGAAAGTATTCAGACTCCTTGACCTTTTCCACATTTTGTTACGTTACAGCCTTATTATAAAATTGATTAAATTGTTTTTTTTCCTCATCAATCTACACACAATACCCCATAACGACAAAGCAAAATCAGGTTTTTAGAAATGATTGGAAATGTATAAAAAAAACTGAAAGATCACATTTATATAAGTATTCAGACCCTTTACTCAGAACTTTGTTGAAGCACCTTTGGCAGCGATTACAGCCTCAAGTCTTCTTGGGTATAATGCTACAAGCTTGGCACACCAAGCTCTGTCAGGTTGGATGGGGAGCGTCGCTGCACAGCTATATTCAGGTCTCTCCAGAGATGTTCGATCGGGTTCAAGTCCGGGCTCTGGCTGGGCCACATTCAGAGACTCAGATTCAGAAACCACTCCTGCGTTGTCTTCGCTGTGTGCTTAGGGTCGTTGTCCTATTGGAAGGTGAACCTTCGCCCCAGTCTCAGGCCCTGAGCACTCTGGAGCAGGTTTTCATCAAGGATCTCTCTGTTATTTGCTCCGTTCATCTTTCCGATCCTGACTAGTCTCCCAGTCCCTGCCACTGAAAAACATTCCCACAGCATGATGCTGCCACCACCATGCTTCACCATAGGGATGGTGCAAGGTTTCCTCCAGATGAGATGCTTGGCATTCAGGCCAAAGAGTTCAATTTTGGTTTCATCAGACCAGAGAATCTTGTTTCTCATGGTCTGAGAGTCCTTTAGGTGCCTTTTGGCAAACTCCAAGCAGGCTGTCATGTGCCTTTTACTGAGGAGTGGCTTCCATCTGGCCACTCGGCCATAAAGGCCTGATTGGTGGAGTGCTGCAGAATTGGTTGTCCTTCTGGAAGGTTCTCCCATCTCCACCGAGGAACTCTGGTGCTCTGTCAGAGTGACCATCAGGTTCTTGGTCACCTCCCTGACCAAGGCCCTTTTCCCCCGATTGCTCAGTTTGGCCGGGCGGCCAGCTCTAGGAAGAGTCTTGGTGGTTCCAAACTTCTTCCATTTAAGAATGATGGAGGCCACTGTGTTCTTGGGGACTTTCAATGCTGCAGAAAAGTTTTGGTACCCTTCCCCAGATCTGTGCCTCAACACAATCCTGTCTCGGAGCTCTACGGACAATTCCTTCAACCTCATGGCTTGGTTTTTGCTCTGAAATGCACTGTCAACTGTGGAACCTTATATAGACAGGTGTGTACCTTTCCAAATCATGTCTAGTCAATTGAATTTACCACAGGTGGACTCCTATCAAGTTGTAGAAACATCTCAAGGATGATCAATGGAACCAGGATGCACCTGAGCTCAATTTCGAGTCTCATAGCAAACGGTCTGAATACTTATGTAAATAAGGTAAAAAATTATTATTATTATTATTATTTTTCGCTTTGTCATTATGGGGTATTGTGTGCAGATTGATGAGTTATTTTATTTATTTTTAATCCATTTTAGAATAAGGCTGTAACGTAACAAAATGTGGAAAAAGTCAAGGGGTCTGAATACTTTCCGAATGCACTGTATATACACTGAGTATAACTAACATTAGAAACACCTTCCTAATATTGAGTTGCACACCTCACCTCCCCCTTTGCCCTCAGAACAGCCTCAATTCGTTGGGGCATGGACTCTACAAGGTGTCGAAAGCGTTCCACAGGGATGCTGGCCCATGTTGAGTCCAATGCTTCCCACATTTGTATCAAGTTGGCTGGATGTTGTTTGGATGGTGGATCATTCTTGATACACATAGGAAACTGCTGAGTGTGAAGAACCCAGCAGCATTGCAGTTCTTGACACAAACCGGTGTGCCTGGCATCTACTACTATACCCTGTTCAAAGGGGCTTAAATCTTGTCTTGCCCATTCACCCTCTGAATGGCACATATACACAATCCATGTCTCAAGGCTTAAAAATCCTTCCTTAACCTGTCTCCTCCACTTCATCTACACTGATTGAAGTGGATTTAACAGGTGAAATCAATAAGGGATCATAGCTTTCACCTGGATTGACCAGGACCATGGAAAGAGCAGGTGTTCTTATTGTTTTGTAAACTCAGTGTATAACTTGGAATTTGTATTTGTATTTATTATGGATCCCCCTCTTCCTGGGGTCCGGCAGGTAGATCAGCTTTAATATTGCAGATAGATTGTAACTTCCATCAATGTAATTGTCTGCATCACTTCCAATCCCCCATATGTTTTTTTTCTCGCAAATAGATACAGTATATGCATATATTTATATATATATGCACATATATATATATATATATATATAATATATATATATAAATATATATATACACATACATACATACAGTGGGGAAAAAAAGTATTTAGTCAGCCACCAATTGTGCAAGTTCTCCCACTTAAAAAGATGAGAGAGGCCTGTAATTTTCATCATAGGTACACGTCAACTATGACAGACAAATTGAGATTTTTTTTCTCCAGAAAATCACATTGTAGAATTTTTAATGAATTTATTTGCAAATTATGGTGGAAAATAAGTATTTGGTCACCTACAAACAAGCAAGATTTCTGGCTCTCACAGGCCTGTAACTTCTTCTTTAAGAGGCTCCTCTGTCCTCCACTCGTTACCTGTATTAATGGCACCTGTTTGAACTTGTTATCAGTATAAAAGACACCTGTCCACAACCTCAAACAGTCACACTCCAAACTCCACTATGGCCAAGACCAAAGAGCTGTCAAAGGACACCAGAAACAAAATTGTAGACCTGCACCAGGCTGGGAAGACTGAATCTGCAATAGGTAAGCAGCTTGGTTTGAAGAAATCAACTGTGGGAGCAATTATTAGGAAATGGAAGACATACAAGACCACTGATAATCTCCCTCGATCTGGGGCTCCACGCAAGGTCTCACCCCGTGGGGTCAAAATGATCACAAGAACGGTGAGCAAAAATCCCAGAACCACACGGGGGGACCTAGTGAATGACCTGCAGAGAGCTGGGACCAAAGTAACAAAGCCTACCATCAGTAACACACTACGCACCAGGGACTCAAATCCTGCAGTGCCAGACGTGTCCCCCTGCTTAAGCCAGTACATGTCCAGGCCCGTCTGAAGTTTGCTAGAGTGCATTTGGATGATCCAGAAGAGGATTGGGAGAATGTCATATGGTCAGATGAAACCAAAATATAACTTTTTGGTAAAAACTCAACTCGTCGTGTTTGGAGGACAAAGAATGCTGAGTTGCATCCAAAGAACACCATACCTACTGTGAAGCATGGGGGTGGAAACATCATGCTTTGGGGCTGTTTTTCTGCAAAGGGACCAGGACGACTGATCCGTGTAAAGGAAAGAATGAATGGGGCCATGTATCGTGAGATTTTGAGTGAAAACCTCCTTCCATCAGCAAGGGCATTGAAGATGAAACGTGGCTGGGTCTTTCAGCATGACAATGATCCCAAACACACCGCCCGGGCAACGAAGGAGTGGCTTCGTAAGAAGCATTTCAAGGTCCTGGAGTGGCCTAGCCAGTCTCCAGATCTCAACCCCATAGAAAATCTTTGGAGGGAGTTGAAAGTCTGTGTTGCCCAGCGACAGCCCCAAAACATCACTGCTCTTGAGGAGATCTGCATGGAGGAATGGACCAAAAAACCAGCAACAGTGTGTGAAAACCTTGTGAAGACTTACAGAAAACGTTTGACCTGTGTCATTGCCACCAAAGGGTATATAACAAAGTATTGAGAAACTTTTGTTATTGACCAAATACTTATTTTCCACCATAATTTGCAAATAAATTCATTAAAAATCCTACAATGTGATTTTCTGGAGAAAAAAATTCTCATTTTGTCTGTCATAGTTGACGTGTACCTATGATGAAAATTACAGGCCTCTCTCATCTTTTTAAGTGGGAGAACTTGCACAATTGGTGGCTGACTAAATACTTTTTTTCCCCACTGTACATATATATACACACATACACACATACATATACATACATACATGCCCTCAGGCCCCTACTCCACTACCACATATCTACAACACAAAATCCGTGTGTACGTGTGTGTATAGTGTGTATGTTATCATGTGTGTGTATGCATGTGTCTGTGCCTATATTTGTGCTGCTTCACAGTCCCCGCTGTTCCATAAGGTGTATTTTTATGTTTTTAAAATGTGTTTTTACTACTTGCATCAGTTACCTGATGTGGAACAGAGTTCCATGTAGTCATGGCTCTATGTAGTACTGTGCGCCTCCCATAGTCTGTTCTGGACTTGGAGGCTGTGAAGAGACCTCTGGTGGCATGTCTTGTGGGGTACGCATTGGTGTCTGAGCTGTGTGCTAGTCGTTTAAACAGACAGCTTGGTGCTTTCAACATGCCAATACCTCTCACAAATACAAGTAGTGATGAAGTCAATCTCTCTTCCAGTTTGAGCCAGGAGAGATTGACATGCATATAATTATTTTTTTCTCTCTGTGTACATCCAAGGGCCAGCCGTGCTACTCTGTTCTGAGCCAATTGCAATTTTGGCACCTGACCACATGACTGAACATTAGTCCAGGTGTGACAAAACTAGGGCCTGTAGGACCTGCCTTTTTGATAGTGCTGTTAAGAAGGCAGAGCAGCACTTTATTATGGACAGACTTCTCTCAATCCTAGCTACTGTTGTATCAACATGTTTTGACCATGACAGTTTACAATCCAGGGTTACTCCAAGCAGTTTAGTCACCTCAACTTGCTCAATTTCCACATTATTTATTACATTTTACATTAGAGTCATTTAGCAGACGCTCTTATCCAGAGCGACTTACAGTTAGTGCATACATTACTAACTTTTTTTTTCTTCATACCCCCCCGTGGGAATCGAACCCACAAACCTGGCGTTGCAAACGCCATGCTCTACGAACTAAGCTACATCCCCTGCCGGCCATTCCCTACCCTACCCTAGACGACGCTGGGCCAATTGTGCGCCGCCCCGTGGGTCTCCCGGTCGCAGCCGGCTACGACAGAGCCTGGATACGAAATACAAATGAAGCCGGTGACTGATGTGGTAAACTCCTCAACGCCAACTGTGCTAGCGAAACAGTCCTGTAGTTTAGCACCTGCTTCATCGGACCACTTCCTTATTGAGCGCGTCACTGGTACTTCCTGTTTGAGTTTTTGTTTGTAAGCAGGAATCAGGAGTATAGAGTTATGGTCAGATTTGCGAAATTGCCAAATGGAGAGCTTTGTATGCACATCTGTGTGTGGAGTAAAGCTGATCTAGAGTTGTCTCCTCAAGTTGCAGAGGTGACATACTGGTAGAAATTAGATAAGATGGAGTTCAGTTTCCCAGCAATAAAATCACCGGCCACCGCCTCTGAATGAGCTTTTATTTGTTTGCTTATGGCCTTATACAGCTCCTTGAGTGAGGTCTTAGTGCCAGCATCGGTTTGTGGTGGTAAATAGACAGCTATGAAAAATATAGATAAAAACTCTTGGTAAATAGTGTGGTCTATAGCTTTTCATTAGGTATTCTAACTCAGGCGAGCACCTTGAGACTTGAATATTAGAGATTGTGTACCAGCTGTTGTTAACAAAGAGACACACACCTCCCCCCTTGAGCTTACCCAAGGCTGCCGTTCGGTCCTGCTGATGAGTAGAAAAACCAGTTAGATGTATATTATCCATGTCCTTGTTCAGCCATGACTCTGAGAAATATTACAGTTCTTCAGGTACCATTGATAGGAATGGAGCTCATCCAGTTTGTTCTCCAGTGATTTGTATGTTCGCCAATAGAAAGGAGGGTAGAGGAGGTTTATTTACTCGTCGGCGTAGTTTCGTCAGTGTGCCCACACGTCGGCCTCCCTTTTCCGAGTCTTGGGGATTAGGGCCTGGTCCGGGGTTAGCAGTATGTCCTGCAACGCTGACTCATTGAAGTAGAAATCTTCATCCAAATCGAGGTTAGTGTGTCCAGAAGCTCTTTTCGGTCATAGAAAACGATGGCGTAAACATTATGCACAAAACAGTTAAGATCAGCGAGCATTCCATACAAAACAGTTAAGATCAGCGAGCATTCCATACAAAACAGTTAAGATCAGCGAGCATTCCGTACTGTCACGCCCTGGCTCTGGGGACTCTTATATGTTGAGCCAGGGTGTGTAAGGTCTATGTTTTGTGTTCTATGTTCAGTTTCTAGTTCATGTGTTTTCTAGGTTGGCCGGGGTGGTTCTCAATCAGAGGCAACGAGAATCAGCTGTTGCTTGTTGTCTCTGATTGGGAACCATACTTAGGCAGCCTGTTGTTCACTTGTGTTTTGTGGGATCTTGTTCCGTGTTGGTTTGTGTTGTTAACCGAGGACTTCACGTTTCGTTTGGTTGTTTTGTATTTTGTATCGTGTTGCCAGTACACTATTAAAAAGATGTACGCATATCATGCAGCGCCTTGGTCCAATCATTATGACGATCGTGACAGAAGATCCCACCAATACAGGACCAAGCAGCGTGTCCAGGAGCAAACGCCGGAGGTAACGTTAGTGGATGTCCTCCTCGGTTGGGGGCAGATCACGGAGGAGGAGGCCGTCCGTTACCGGAGGGCGATGAAGGGGGAGACCCAGGCAGGAGAGGAGAAGCGGCGCCAACCGGGCCGTCGTCGGACAGGCGAGAGGCACCCCCAATAAAAAATGTTTGGGGGGCACACGGCATGGACGACGGGGCTGCTGGAGGCAGATAAAGGGTGAGTTTGTGGACGAGGAGAGAAGGCCACCAGGTTACGGGGGCCATTGGTCAGTAGAGGGAAGGAGAGTGTAGAGGCACGGCGAGAGGTACTGAGGTGTGTTACCAGTCCGGTCCGGCCCGTTCCTGATCCCCACACAAGGCCAGTGGTGTGTGTTCCCAGTACGGTCCGGCCTGTTCCTGTCCCTCGCACCAAGCCTGTGATGCGCGTCGCCAGCCCGGCCTGTTCCTGCCCCTCGCACCAAGCCTGTGGTGCGCGTCGCCAGCCTGGCCCAGCCTGTTCCTGCCCCTCGCACCAAGCCAATGGTGCGCGTCGCCAGCCCGGCCCGGCCTGTTCCTGCTCCCTGCACCAAGCCTGTGGTGCGCGTCGCCAGCCCGGCCCGGCCTGTTCCTGCCCCTCGCACCAAGCCAATGGTGCGTGTCGCCAGCCCGGCCCGGCCTGTTCCTGTTCCCCGCACCAAGCCAATGGTGCGCGTCGCCAGCCTGGCCCGGCCTGTTCCTGCTCCCTGCACCAAGCCTATGGTGCGCGTCAGCCCGGTCCGGCCTGTTCCTGCTCCCCGCACCAAGCCAATGGTGCGCGTCGTCAGCCCGGCCCGGCCTGTCCTGCTCCCCACACCAAGCCAGTGGTGCGCTTCGTCAGCCCGGTCCGGCCCATTCCTGCTCCCCGCACCAAGCCAATGGTGCACGTCGTCAGCCCGGCCCGGCCTGTTCCTGCTCCCCACACCAAGCCAGTGGTGCGCTTCGTCAGCCCGGTCCGGCCCATTCCTGCTCCCCGCACCAAGCCTGTGGTGCGCGTCGCCAGCCCGGTCCGGCCCGTCCCTGCTCCCCGCACCAAGCCTGTGGTGCGCGTCGTCAGTCCGACACAGCCCGTGCCTGTTTCACCGGTGCCTGGTCAGGTACCGGTCAGCTGCTCCACACCGGAGCCTAAGCAATCCGCTCCACCGATTTCCAGTCCAGCTCCAGCCAGCGGGGCCAGACCAGACCAGGGGCGCTACGGGGGGGTTGTTAGAGGGTGGTGGTCACGCCCGGAGCCGGATCCGCCTCCGAGGCGGAATGCCCACCCGGCCCCTCCCCTGTTGGGTTTATGTTGGCGCGGTCGCAGTCCGCGCCTTTAGGGGGGGGGGGTACTGTCACGCCCTGGCTCTGGGGACTCTTATATGTTGAGCCAGGGTGTGTAGGGTCTATGTTTTGTGTTCTATGTTCAGTTTCTAGTTCATGTGTTTTCTAGGTTGGCCGGGGTGGTTCTCAATCAGAGGCAACGAGAATCAGCTGTTGCTTGTTGTCTCTGATTGGGAACCATACATAGGCAGCCTGTTGTTCACTTGTGTTTTGTGGGATCTTGTTCCGTGTTGGTTTGTGTTGTTAACCGAGGACTTCACGTTTCGTTTGGTTGTTTTGTATTTTGTATCGTGTTGCCAGTGCACTATTAAAAAGATGTACGCATATCACGCTGCGCCTTGGTCCAATCATTATGACGATCGTGACACATACAAAACAGTTAAGATAAGCGAGCATTCCATACAAATCAGTTAAGATCAGCGAGCATTCCATACAAATCAGTTAAGATCAGCGATCATTCCATAAAAAACAGTTAAGATCAGCAAGCATTCCATACAAAACAGTTAAGACCATTCCATTCCATTCCATGGCAATAAAATTTTAATTTAGAACAAAGGCCATGGATCTATTGGTGCCAACATGGTGCCCATGAACATTCTGATCTAAAACAGAGTTTGACAAACTCTGTAGCCTATATCTATGGCACTGGGACAGACAACCAGCGCATTTTAGTAGATAGTAGATAACCCAGCAATTTAGTAGATAAAATCAAAATGTGTGCTCGATCCCTGCAGAAATATCATTAAGTTTGCCGATGACAGAACAGTGGTAGGCCTGATCACCGACAACGACGAGACAGCCTATAGGGAGGAGGCCAGAGACCTGGCCGTGTGGTGCCAGGACAACAACCTCTCCCTCAACGTGATCAAGACAAAGGAGATTATTGTGGACTTCAGGAAAAAGAAGAGGACTGAGCACGCCCCCATTCTCATCGACGGGGCTGTAGTGGAGCAGGTTGAGAGCTTCAAGTTCCTTGGTGTCCACATCACCAACAAACTAACATGGTCCAAGCACACCAAGACAGTCGTGAAGAGGGCACGACAAAACCTATTCCCCCTCAGGAGACTGAAAAGATTTGGCATGGGTCCTCAGATCCTCCCTCCTCCAAGATGGCGTAGTAGTGCAGTCCTGTTTTTGTCGTGTGTCTGTAAATAGCCTGTAAATACCCTGTTTTTTTGTATTTTTCTTACATATTTCCCTATCAGACTTTTCATCCTTCTACAAAATATACTTTCCTGCAACCCGCCTCACTCAATGTGGAACGGATTCTATTATTGACTTACCTTTTATCTAGAATCTCCAGTTGAAACTAGCTAGCCAGCTAACTAGCTACTTGCTATTAGCCACAGTTAGCGGTATTTCACCCAGAACATTGGATTTTTCTGCCGGAATAATTTAATCACTGGACATTAATCACTGGATTGCAACTAGCTAGCCGCAACCGAATGGATGTTGCTGTTTGGCTAATCACCACTGCCCCCGATGCAAGCACCAGTTAGCCTCGAGCTAGCCTAGAGCCAGGCTCATATCCCGGCTATCTACCTCTAGGTCTACCGGACGGGAGTAGCCAGCTAACTAGCTACTTGCTATCAGCTACCGTTAGCGTTTTTTCACCATTGTCCGTGGCCTGCACCACCTACCAGCCAGCTCTAGTCTGGACTATTATTCGGCCAGTCTGCACTGTCTACACAGCGCGTTATCGACCCAGAACATATCAGTTTTTCTGCCGGAATCACTGAATCACTGGACCTTTAACTCCGGATTCATCGCTACCAGCTAGCTGCAACAAAATGGACGTTGTGGTCTGGCTAATCATCCTGAGCTAGGCCCATCTCCCGGCTATCTACCTCTCTGTCAACCGGACGGGACCACCTAGTGTTGACACGGAGCCCCGCCGATCCTACACGACTGGTCTGCTGACGAAATCGTCTGATGTGGTTACAACAGGCTTCCCGTTACGACGTCGACCACAAAGATTCCATCTGCTAGCCCCGGCCTTATATAGCTCCTTTATATAGCTATATATAGCTCCTTATATAGCTCCTTTGTCCCACCCCCCATACACACGGAGACCGACTCAATTGGTGTCTTAAGTGATGCTATCTCTTTCATTGTTACCCAACGCTTAGGTTTACCTCCACTTTACTCATATCCTTCCATATCCTTGTCTGTACATAATGCCCTGAATCTTTTCTACAACGCCCAGAAATCTGCCCCCTTTATTCTATGTACCCAACGCACTAGAAGACCAGTTCTTAAAGCCTTTAGCCGTATCCTTATTCTAGTCCTCCTCTGTTCCTCCGGTGATGTAGAGGCTAACCCAGGCCCTGCAGCCCTCAGTATCACTCCTACTCCCCAGGCGCTATCATTTGCTGACTTCTGTAATCGCAAAAGCCTTGGTTTCTTGCATGTAAATATCAGAAGTCTACTTCCTAAGTTTGAGTTATTCACTGCGTTAGCACACTCCACCAACCCTGATGTTCTAGCAGTGTCTGAATCCTGGCTTAGGAAGGCCACCAAAAATTCTGAAATTTCCATCCCCAACTATAACATTTTCCGTCTAGATAGAACTGCCAAAGGGGGTGGAGTTGCAATCTACTGTAGAGATAGCCTGCAGAGCTCTATCATACTATCCAGGTCTGTGCCCAAACAGTTTGAGCTTCTACTTCTAAAAATCCACCTTTCCAGAAATAAGTCTCTCACTGTTGCCGCTTGCTCCAGACCCCCCTCAGCCCCCAGCTGTGCCCTGGACACCATATGTGAATTGATTGCCCCCCATTTATCCTCAGAGTTCGTACTGCTTGGTGACCTAAATTGGGATATGCTTAACACCCCGGCCATCCTACAATCCAAACTAGATGCCCTCAATCTCACACAAATTATCAACGAACCTACCAGGTACAACCCTAAATCTGTAAACATGGGTACCCTCATAGATATCATCCTGACTGACTTACCCTCTAAATACACCTCCGCTGTCTTCAACCAGGATCTCAGCGATCACTGCCTTATTGCCTGCGTCCGTAACGAGTCCGCGGTCAAACGACCACCCCTCATCACTGTCAAACGCTCCCTAAAACACTTTAGCGAGCATGCCTTCCTAATTGACCTGGCCCAGGTATCCTGGATGGATATAGATCTCATTCCGTCAGTACAGGATGCCTGGTTGTTCTTTAAAAGTTATTTCCTCTCAATCTTAAATAAACATGCCCCATTCAAAAAATACAGAACTAAGAACAGATGTAGCCCCTGGTTCTCCTCAGACTTGACTGCCCTTGACCAGCACAAAAACATCCTGTGGCGTACTGCATTAGCATCAAATAGCCCCCGCGATATGCAACTTTTCAGGGAAGTTAGGAACCAATATACACAAGCAGTCAGGAAAGCAAAGGCTAACTTTTTCAAACAGAAATTTGCATCCTGTAGCACTAACTCCAAAAAGTTTTGGGACACTGTAAAGTCCATGGAGAATAAGAGCACTTCCTCCCAGCTGCCCACTGCACTGAGGCTAGGAAACACTATCACCACCGATAAATCTACAATAATCGAGAATTTCAAGAACCATTTTGCTATGGCTGGCCATGCTTTCCACCTGGCTACCACTATCCCGGCCACCAACTCTGCACCCTCCGCTGCAACTTGCCCATGCCCCCCCCCCGCTTCTCCTTTACACAAATTCAGACAGCTGATGTTCTGAAAGAGCTGCAAAATCTGGACCCCTACAAATCAGCTGGGCTTGACAATCTGGACCCTTTCTTTCTAAAACTAGCCACCGAAATTGTCGCAACCCCTATTACTAGCCTGTTCAACCTCTCTTTCGTAACGTCTGAGATCCCCAGAGATTGGAAAGCTGCCGCAGTCATCCCCCTCTTCAAAGGGGGTGACACTCTAGATCCAAACTGTTACAGACCTATATCCATCCTGCCCTGCCTTTCGAAAGAATTTGAAAGCCAAGTTAACAAACAGATTACCGACCATTTCGAATCCCACCGTACCTTCTCCACTATGCAATCCGGTTTCCGAGCTGGTCATGGGTGCACTTAAACACATCAACAAGGTAGCCTATACATTTCTTATTCGTAATAGTAGACAATTAAAAAACACCAAAGGCAACACGTCTATGATCACCTGTCCAGATGTAATACCAAGTGTGTATCTATGTGTTACCAGGTGTACTCCACATGCAATACCAGGTGTGTGTTTCTCTCTCAGGTGTATTCTACGGTCTACTCCATCTGTCCAGGTGTAATACCAGGTTACTGTCTCTCTCAGGTGTATTCTACATTCTGTCTGTAACCAGGTGTATCTATGTGTTACCAGGAGTATTCTACTGTCTGTCTGTAACCAGGTGTATCTATGTGTTACCAGGTGTATTCTACGGTGTAATACCAGGTGTATATACAGCACCAGTCAAAAGTTTGGACACACCTACTCATTCCAGGGTTTTTCTTTATTTGTGCTATTTTTTACATTGTAGAATAATAGTGAAGACATCAAAACTATGAAATAACACATATGGAATCATGTAGTAACCAAAATATATTTTAGATTTTAGATTCTTCAAAGTAGCCACCCTTTGCCTTGATGACAGCTTTGCACACTGTTGGCATTCTCTTAACCAGCTTCATTAGGTAGTCACCTGGAATGCATTTCAATTAACAGGTGTGCCTTGTTAAAAGTTAATTTTATGGAATTTCTTTCCTTCTTAATGCGTTTGAGCTAATCAGTTGTGTTGTGACAAGGTAGGGTTGGTATACAGAAGATAGATGTATTTGGAAAAAGACCAAGTCCATATTATGGCAAGAACAGCTCAAATAAGCGAAGAGAAACGACAGTCCATGATTACTTTAAGACATGAAGGTCAGTCAATCCAGAAGAATTCAAGAACTTTGACATTTTCTTCAAGTGCAGTCGCAAAGACTATCAAGCGCTATGATGAAACTGGCTCTCATGAGGACCACCACAGGAAAGGAAGACCCAGAGTTACCTCTGCTGCAGAGGATAAGTTCATCAGAGTTAACTGCACCTCAGTTGCAGCCCAAATATATTATTCACAGTTCAAGTAACAGACACATCTCAACATCAACTGTTCAGAGGAGACTGCATGAATCAGGCCTTCCTTTTTATTTTTGTCATTTAGCAGACGCCCTTATCCAGAGCGATTTACAGGAGCAATTAGGGTTAAGTGCCTTGCTCAAGGGCACATCGACAGATTTTTCACCTAGTCAGCTCAGGGATTAGAACCAGCGACCTTTCAGTTACTGGCACAATGCTCTTAACCAGTAAGCTACCTGCCGCCCTTCATGGTCGAATTGCTGCAAAGAAACCACTACTAAAGGACACCAATAATAAGAAGAGACTTGCTTGGGCCAAGAAACATGAGCAATGGACATTAGACCGGTGGAAATCTGTCCTTTTTTTTGGTTCCAACCGCCGTGTCTTTGTGAGACGCAGAGTAGGTGAACGGATGATCTCCGCATGTGTGGTTCCCACCGTGAAGCATGGAGGAGGAGGTGTGATGGTGTGCAGGTGCTTTGCTGGTGACACTGTATGTGATTGATTTAGAATTCAAGGCACACTTAACCAGCATGGCTACCACAGTATCCCATCTGGTTTGGGTTTAGTGGGACTATCATTTGTTTTTCAACAGGAACAATGACCCAAAACATACCTCCAGGCTGTGTAAGGGCTATCTGACCAAGAAGGAGAGTGATGGAGTGCTGCATCAGTTGACCTGCATTCCTCATGAAGCTGGTTGAGAGAATGCTAAGAGTGTGCAAAGCTGTCATCAAGGCAAAGGGTGGCTACTTTGAATAATCTCAAATATAAAATAAATGTTGATTTGTTTAACACTTTTTTGGTTACTACATGATTCCATATGTGTTATTTCATAGTTTTGATGTCTTCAGTATTATTCTACAATGTAGAAAATAGTAAAAAATAAAGAAAAACCCTTGAATGAGTAGGTGTGTCCAAACTTTTGACTGGTACCATATGTTACCAGGTGTATTCTACTGTCTGTCGGAAACCAGGTCTATCTATGTTATCCAGCAGCATCCCACCCTGCATCCCACTGCTGGCTTGCCTCTGAAGCTAAGCAGTATTGGTCCTGGTCGGTCCCTAGATGGGAGACCAGATGCTGCTGGAAGTGGTGTTGGAGGGCCAGTAGGAGGTCCCTGGATGGGAGACCAGATGCTGATGGAAGTGGTGTTGGAGGGCCAGTAGGAGGTCCCTGGATGGGAGACCAGATGCTGCTGGAAGTGGTGTTGGTGAGCCAGTAGGAGGCACTCTTTCCTCTGGTCTAAAATAAAATATCCCAATGCCCCAGGGCAGTGATTGGGGACATTGCCCTGTGTAGGGTGATGTCTTTCAGATGGGATGTTAAAAGGGTGTCCTGACTCTCTGTGTTCACTAAACATCCCATGGCACTTATCGTAAGAGTAGGGGTGTTAACCCCGGTGTCCTGGCTAAATTCTCTATTTAGTCCTCATACCATCATGGCCACCTAATCATCCCCAGCTTCCAATTGGCTCATTCATCCCCTGTAACTATTCCCCAGGTTGTTGCTGTAAATGAGAATGTGTACTCAATCAACTTACCTGGTAAAATAAGGGTAAATAAATATGTAACCAGGTGTATCTACTGTATGTGTATTCTACTGTCTGTAACCAGGTGTATTCTACTGTCTGTCTGTAACAAGGTGTATCTAAGTGTATTATACTGTCTATAACCAAATCAAATCATCCTAACCAGGTGTATCTTTGTGTTACAAGGTGTATTCTACTGTCTGTCTGTAATCAGATGCATCTATGTGTTAACAGGTGCATTCTACTGTCTGTTACCAGGTGTTTCTGTCTCTCCAGGTGTACTCTGCTGTCTGTTACCAGGTGTTTCTGTCTCTCCAGGTGTACTCTGCTGTCTGTTACCAGGTGTTTCTGTCTCTCCAGGTGTACTCTACTGTCTGTTACCAGGTGTTTCTGTCTCTCCAGGTGTACTCTACTGTCTGTTACCAGGTGTTTCTGTCTCTCCAGGTGTACTCTACTGTCTGTTACCAGGTGTTTCTGTCTCTCCAGGTGTACTCTACTGTCTGTTACCAGGTGTTTCTGTCTCTCCAGGTGTACTCTACTGTCTGTTACCAGGTGTTTCTGTCTCTCCAGGTGTACTCTACTGTCTGTTACCAGGTGTTTCTGTCTCTCCAGGTGTACTCTACTGTCTGTTACCAGGTGTTTCTGTCTCTCCAGGTGTACTCTACTGTCTGTTACCAGGTGTTTCTGTCTCTCCAGGTGTACTCTACTGTCTGTTACCAGGTGTTTCTGTCTCTCCAGGTGTACTCTACTGTCTGTTACCAGGTGTTTCTGTCTCTCCAGGTGTACTCTGCTGTCTGTTACCAGGTGTTTCTGTCTCTCCAGGTGTACTCTACTGTCTGTTACCAGGTGTTTCTGTCTCTCCAGGTGTACTCTACTGTCTGTTACCAGGTGTTTCTGTCTCTCCAGGTGTACTCTACTGTCTGTTACCAGGTGTTTCTGTCTCTCCAGGTGTACTCTACTGTCTGTTACCAGGTGTTTCTGTCTCTCCAGGTGTACTCTGCTGTCTGTTACCAGGTGTTTCTGTCTCTCCAGGTGTACTCTACTGTCTGTTACCAGGTGTTTCTGTCTCTCCAGGTGTACTCTACTGTCTGTTACCAGGTGTTTCTGTCTCTCCAGGTGTACTCTACTGTCTGTTACCAGGTGTTTCTGTCTCTCCAGGTGTACTCTGCTGTCTGTTACCAGGTGTTTCTGTCTCTCCAGGTGTACTCTGCTGTCTGTTACCAGGTGTTTCTGTCTCTCCAGGTGTACTCTACTGTCTGTTACCAGGTGTTTCTGTCTCTCCAGGTGTACTCTGCTGTCTGTTACCAGGTGTTTCTGTCTCTCCAGGTGTACTCTACTGTCTGTTACCAGGTGTTTCTGTCTCTCCAGGTGTACTCTACTGTCTGTTACCAGGTGTTTCTGTCTCTCCAGGTGTACTCTACTGTGTACTCTATCATCACGGTGTTCGGCCTGGCCGGTAACGGTTTCGCTCTGCTGGTTCTGGTCAAAACGTTCCGGCAGCGTTCTGCGTTCCATGTCTACATGTTGAACTTGGCCGTGTCCGACCTGCTGTGTGTCTCTACGCTGCCACTACGGGTCCTCTACTACGTTAATAAGGTAGTAATGACTGGGGGGGGTTGTGCATAGTAATGGCTATTTCTACTTCTTGTTTTCGGAGGGGGGGGGGGTTGTGCTCTGTCACAGCATTTTGGCCGAATTCAATCAAAGGTGAGTTGTCGACAAGCGCATTTCACTTGACTTTTATAGGTAATTTACGTCGGGGGAAAATGCCTTTAAAAGGCACATTGTCGACAACGCACCTTTGAATGAATCCCGGGCTTTGAGATGCTATTAAAATAGATTATTGTTGATGTTGATCCTCTCCCTCAGGGTCAGTGGAACCTGGGAGACTTCCTGTGCAGGGTTTCATCCTATGCCCTCTACGTGAACCTCTACTGCAGCGTGTTCTTCATGACCGCCATGTCCGTCACGCGCTTCCTCGCCATCGTGTTCCCCGTGCAGAACCTGCGCCTGGTCTCAGAGCGCCGCGCCCGTCTGGTGTGTGTCTGTATCTGGGTGTTCATCTGCACTGTGTCCTCCCCCTTCCTCATGACTGGTCAACACCTCCACCCAGCAACCAATAAGACCAAGTGCTTCGAGCCTCCAGAGCGCAGCACAGGGGGCGGGCTTAACAAGCTCATCATGCTCAACTACTTCTCATTGGCCGTGGGCTTCGTACTTCCTTTCCTGGTCATCCTGCTGTGCTACGCCGGGATCATCCGGGCCCTGCTGTCACGGCAACACGCTGCGCAGCGCCAGAAGGGGGCGGGGTCTAAGGCTATCAGAATGATTGTCATAGTGATGCTGGCATTCCTGCTGTGCTTCATGCCGTACCACATCCAGCGCTCCATCCACCTCAGCTTCCTGTCCCAGACTGCCACTTCCTGTTCGGAGCTGGTGTACATGCAGAAGAGTGTGGTGGTGACGCTCTGTCTAGCTGCCTCCAACTCCTGCTTCGACCCGCTGCTCTACTTCTTCTCTGGAGAGGGCTTCAGACGACGCCTGTCAACCTTCAGGTCCACTAGCAAGACACAGAGACAACCGGCCGCAGAGACAGGGGGCACAGCCACCGCTAGGGAGGGGAACATGCTATGAGAGAGAGAGAGAGAAAGAGAGAGATATGCACATAAGCCTAAGATCACCATGCGCAATGCCAAGCGCTGTTTTTCATGGTTCGGGCTAGTCCCCTTAGTTCCAGTGAAGGGAAATCTTAAGAGATAGGCAGGTAGCGTTCTCCTGGCATTCGCCAAACCCAGATTCGTCCGTCGGACAGCCAGATGGTTAAGTGTGATTTCTTGTGCCTACCTAGGTCAAAGTCTAGACGGCAGATTAAAACGAGACTATAACATCCATGAAGTGACCATTGGACTTATAAAATGCCTGATTGACTAAGTTTGTAGGTGCAACAGTTTTTGTTAAATATATAATTTATCGGTTTCATGTGCACATTTCCCTCCTTTAAGAAACAATGATGTGCTACCTTTTTGTAGCATTTCTGACAATGCTAACATACATTTTAGCTGAAACTCTGAGTCATGGTGGTCCTCTGTAGCTCAATTGGTAGAGCATGGCGCTTGTAACGCCAGGGTAGTGAGTTCGATCTCTGTGACCACCCATAGATAAAAATGTATGCACACATGACTGTAAGTCGCTTTGGATAAAAGCGTCTGCTAAATGGCATTTAATTTAATAATTAATTCTAACACTGGGTTGGTTGCTTGGCAACAACACAGCTGCTTGCACCATGCTGCCAGTCAGAAGAAGTGTATGGAACAAACCTAGGCTACTGTATATAGCTAGCTAGCTACAATACCACCATATAGCTGAGGTTAATCAATAAATGCAAACAGATATTTTGATTAGCTAGGTAGCTAAATAGCTAATGTTACCTAGCTAACATTAGCTTGCTTGTATAAAGTCCAGCAGCTAGCCTCTGTAGCTAGCTAACACCATTCAGCTGAAAGCTAGCTAGCTAACACCAGTCAGCTGAAAGCTAGCTAGCTAACAAAGAGGCAAACAAATGTAATGGTAGCTAACGCACTTTTGTACATCGCGCTGTTCTGTACATTACGCTGTTCCGTACATTTGACAATTATTTTAGCAACCCCAAAAACGTAATACTTCCAGGTCAACTGTAATATGAATACCATTGTAAAGCACAATTTCTCCCCTTCCCAGCAAAATCAATAATGAGACCTTCATGCTGCCCGTCTCTGCATGATTGAAGAAAGCAATGGAGCTCTGCCGGTTCTTTTTATAAATGGCGTGTGGGGAAGCGAAAGCTACTGCGTCATAGTGAAAGGGGAGATATGTCGTGTGGGGAAGGGAAAGCCGATTTTTCACCCGATTTGTCCAACTTATCACCTCTAAAATTTAAATAAAACACTGTAAAGAGTTTATATAATGTCTCATTACATACCTATTTGAAGGTTTGTGTCGAATTTGAATAGGGTTTTAAGGGCGGCGCTAAATTTATCTTCACAATTAAACTGTGGGTGTCACGGTTTTTGAGAGTCATGATTGCTAGCAGTGATTACGCAGAAAATGTACAATTGATTGAATTAACTATTAATGAACTCACGAGTAATTAACTTTACACTCACCATTGATCATTTCTTGTTTTTAATCTGAAAGAAAAGCGCTCCACCTGGTGGATAGAGGCTGTATGGCACAGAATGAGTTGAATAATGCCTGCTATACATTACGTCGTGACGTCACACTTTAACGTACAGCATCAGCGGGGTCAGTTTTTTCAACTTTTCTCCAATACTATTGGTCCATTACCATGTCAATCAACGCTGAATTGAAACTTAGTTCACACCCCGGATTTTGATGCCAACACAGTCGCTACAGTCCCATTAGTTTTCATTGCAGCTTCGTTTGAATGCCAAGGTTGCCCACATGTGTGCAGAACGGAGTTAACTAACGTTAGCTAGCCAATTAATGTGATTTTGTTTTCATTAGCTAGGTAGCTAGCTAACATAACAGTATACCAGTCAGGTGAAAGCTAACATTGGCTAGGTAGCTAACCAACAAGCAAGGAAAGCTAGCTAGCTAGCTAGCTAGCTATATTTTGCCAAGAAAGGTTTTTCACATAAGGCTGAAATCATCATGTGTAAACTGCTGATCTAGACACAAACAAAGATGCACAAATAAACTAGCTAATGTCCTTGGCTGCTATGATAGCCAATTCACTTTAGCTAGCTAAGTAACCTTAGCCAACGTAAGACATAACGTTAGCTAACGTGTATGGCCAGTTCCTGCACGGCAATATATCGTACTTTCTTGCACAAAACATAACTAGTTAGTTCATGTTAGTTACGTTAAGTTGAAAACCACCGAACTTTGGGAAACTGCCATGACCATCATGTTTATTTGCATTGCACTGATCAATCTACAGTAACGTTAAGACAAGATAGGCAGATTTCAGATAGGACAAACATTGCAGTTAGCTACATTTCCTCGACTAAGAAGAACCAAGACCACAACACAAACCGAGAAAACAAATTGCTTTGTTAAGATATAATAAGTTATCGATGTTGAACCGCTTATAGTTAATGGTTGAACCCCAAACGCACATGTAAACAGAACCTCAGTTGTGCATGCTGACCAGACTGACAACATTGCTGTTTCAAAAATGTGTTGAATAAATGCCATACGAATTGTAATTCATAACATGTCATGCGAAATGGATGATGGACGTCCACAAATTAATACATACCATATGAAATGTAACTAAATTGAGTGAATAATACTATATAACAATAATACGAAATGCTATGAGATCAGGTTGCAACCCGCAGCAGCGTGCAGTCAAAAGAAAGAAAAATGCTTGTTAACTTTGTTATTAAAACAAATAAACAGTTTTAGTTGTATTTTAACCAAGCAAGATAAATAAACGTGCAATCACTACTGAGTGAATGAGCAAAATCATTTTGGAACGAACACTTCCAGACATTTAAATGGTCTGTCGAAGTCAATGTGTTAAGAACAGGGTTCATAGTGTGATGGTTAGAGTTACCACTTGTGGATCAGAACATTGTGGGTTTGCCTCCCGGAGGAGGTATTTTGACCATTCTTTCATTTATAGTTTTGACAACCCCCTCCCTCCTGACACTGACACACACACACACACACACACACACACACACACACACACACACACACACACACACACACACACACACACACACACACACACACACACTCACACACACACACACACACACACACACACACACACACACACACACACACACACTTATTGTAATTTATTAGGTGGCTCTTAAAAGAGCCTTTTGGGTTCGTGGAGGGGCAGGCAAGTGGCAGTGAGTGTGGTGGTGGTGTGTACTACTGCATCTGTCTTGCTAGAACAGAGGATAGATCAGCTCTCAGACTCTCAAGGAAGAGGTTGTTGCCCTCATCCGTGAGATGCAAGCTTTGATTATTCAAATCAGCTGTGTAGTACTAGTGCAAAAACCAAAACATGCACCCAGGGGGTGCCCCAGGACAGAGTTTGGATTGCGCGCATGCGCCTGACACAGAGAAATGCAAACACCAGCTGGTTGACAGAGCGCCTGGCCATCTCTATGGGCTTGTTGATGTCCTCCTCCCACTGGAACATCCAACTCCTCCACTGTGTGATGTCAGAGTAGGCCACCATTGTCCTGGGGAACATTTTGATGACTACCTCCAAATCAGCTCTCATCTGACGCACCAGGGCTGTCCCTTTTGTGTGGCCCAAGTTGTTTCCACCGAGTTGGATGAATATGATATATTCACGGTCACATTTTGCCTTGGCGAGAGAGAATATTTCAGAACCCTTCCATTGAGAACAGCTCCTCCATATTTCACGCTCCTGTAGTCATCTAGCCAGCTACATTGTGTAATATCTCCTGTAGTCATCTAGCCAGCTACATTGTGTAATCTCTCCTGTAGTCATCTAGCCAGCTACATTGAGTTTCCTTGCTCTTGCCAATTTGCTTTGAGCAATGATCAGTAGGATTATGAGCTGGGATCTTATCAATAAATAAAATCAATAAAACGCATGACATTGTGACATTGTGAGGAGAGCATCTGTTATGTTGTACTATAATGTTGTTTAATAATGTTGCATAATCACCTTCCGGTGTAAAAATCCATAGAAATTAAAAGCAAAAAACTATGTTTTAAGTGAGAATAGTCTGAAGCCGAAAATGAAAGGAAATTCACATGAGCTCCCCAACGCCTCCTCCACCCATGCTCCACCAAGGTATTAACCCTAACCCTAACCCTAACCCCAATGCCTCCTCCACCCATGCTCCACCAAGGTATTAACCCTAACCCTAACCCTAAACCTAACCCTAACCCTAACCCCAACGCCTCTTCCACCCATGCTCCACCAAGGTATTAACCCTAACCCTAACCCTAACCCTAACCCTAACCCTAACCACAATGCCTCCTCCACCCATGCTCTACCAAGGTATTAACCCTAACCCTAACCCCAATGCCTCCTCCACCCATGCTCCACCAAGGTATTAACCCTAACCCTAACCACAATGCCTCCTCCACCCATGCTCTACCAAGGTATTAACCCTAACCCTAACCCTAACCCTAACCCCAATGCCTCCTCCACCCATGCTCCACCAAGGTATTAACCCTAACCCTAACCCTAACCACAATGCCTCCTCCAGCCATGCTCTACCAAGGTATTAACCCTAACCCTAACCCTAACCACAATGCCTCCTCCACCCATGCTCTACCAAGGTATTAACCCTAACCCTAACCACAATGCCTCCTCCACCCATGCTCCACCAAGGTATTCCAGTGCTCATTCAAAACATCTCAAACAGCCTATTTCATACTCTTCAGAGGGATAATGGGCTTTACAGTATTTATTTAAACAAGTAATTTTTTTCATTTCACTTCACCAATTTTGACTATTTTGTGTATGTCCATTACATGAAATCCAAATAAAAATCAATTTAAATTACAGGTTGTAATGCAACAAAATGGGAAAAACGCCAAGGGGGATGAATACTTTGACATTTAGATTTATTTACATTTACATCATTTAGCAGACGCTCTTATCCAGTGCTACTTACAAATTGGTGCATTCAACTTATGATAGCCAGTGGGACAACCACTTTCTTTTTTTTATGGGGGGGGGGGTACAAGGATTACTTTATACTATTCCAGGTATTCCTTAAAGAGGTAGGGTTTCAAGTGTCTCCGGAAGGTGGTCAGTGACTCCGCTGTCCTTGTGTCGTGGGGGAGCTTGTTCCACCATTGGGGTGCCAGAGCAGCAAATAGCTTTGACTATTTGCAAGGCACTGTATATATATATATATATGAATGCCACGATGCCAGTCTGCCTGCTTTATATTGGTGTATGTGTGTGTTCTGATGAGATGTATTTGTTGTTGTACAGTGTCTTATACCAGTATGTGAATAAAGGTTCAGCTGAACTGTCTTGTAACTATCATCATATGAATGGTTGGGGGACACCTAGTGGCCAGCATATGACACTGCATGTAACAACCACTAACTCATAGTAGTCTACAGTCTACAGTCAAATAAAATGTTGTTGGTCACATACACGTGTTTAGCAGATGTTATTGCTGGTGTAGCGAAATGCTTGTGTTTCTAGCTCCGACAGTGCAGTAATATCTAACAAGTAATATCTAACAATTTCACAACATATACCCAATACACACAAATCTAAGTAAAGCAATGGAATTAAGAATATATAAATAAATATATACACAGCAGTCAGTCAGCATATTGCTGGTACATGTTTCCTATAATTAATATCCTAGAAGTATTTAATTCCCTCAGTGGTCAGAGAACAGAGAACTTTGTGAGGACAGCAGAATGGGTCAGAGGTCATGGTGAGGACAGCAGAATGGGTCAGAGGTCATTGTGAGGACAGCAGAACAGGTCAGAGGTCATGGTGAGGACAGCAGGTCTAGATAGAAAGAGGATCTGAAGACTACAGCAGGATGACTTGCTCAACCAATCAAATGGACTTATAAAGCTCTTTTTACATCAGCAGATGCCACAAAGTGCTTATACAGAAACCCAGCCTAAAACCACAAACAGCAGCAATGCAGATGTAGAAGCACGGTGGCTAGGAAAAACTCCCTAGAAAGGCTGGAACCTAGGAATCAGACTCTGAGGGGTGGCCAGTCCACTTCTGTGCATTGAAGTAATATGATACATTTTTTGGGGTTCTAGTCAAGATTCTAGCAGCCGTATTTAGCACTAGCTGAAGTTAATTTAGTGCTTTATCCGTGTAGCCAAAGAGTAGAGCATTGCAGTAGTTTAATATTGAAGTGAGAAAAGCATGGATTAGCATTTCTGAATAATTTTTGGACAGAACGTTTCAGATTTTTGCTACGATTATGAAAAAATCTGAGCTGCCCTTGAAATATTTTTGATATGTTTGTCAAAAGAGAGATCAGGGTCCTGAGTAATGCCAAGGTCCTTCACATTTTTATTTGAGATGACTGTACAACCATCAAGATTAATTGTCAGATCAAACAGCAGATTTCTTTGCTTCTTGGGACCTAGAACTATCATCTCTGTTTTGTCCTTATGTCTGAAATGTAGACTTCCAGGGTAGGCAATTTTGGTCCTAAAAACAGAACCTTGAGGAATACTAAAACTTACGATTGATTTGTCAGAAGACAAACCATCCACGGAGATGAACTGATATCTTTCCAGCAGAAGATCTAAACCAGGCAAGAACTTGTCCGTGTCGACCAATTAGGTTTTCCAATGTCTCCAAAAGAATGTGGTGATTGATGGTGTCTAAGGCGTCACTAAGGTCTATGGGCATGAAGACAGACGCAGAGAGCCTTGGTCTGATGCCATTAAAAGGTCATTTACCATCTTCAGGAGTGCAGTCTCAGTGCTATAATGGATCTAAAACCAGACTGGAGCGTTTTGGATACATTATCTGTCTTCAGGAAGGCAGTGAGTTGCTGAGCAACAGCTTTTTCTAAAAGCATGTAGAGGAATGAGAGATTTGATATAGGCCGATAGTTGTAAACATTTTCCAGGTCAAGGATTGGCTTTTTCAAGAGAGGCTTTTTACTG